GTCAAGTCAGCTTTTGTAGGTAGGTTGCATGAATAATTCTAGAAAATGATGATTGCATCATTGCTCTCTTCTACTCTTCTGCCTTGCAATTTAAACCAAAATCTCATTTGCTCACTTGCTGCAATTGTTCTTATTGTTTCTAAACCTCCTTATATTCATCAGGAAGTTTATTCTGTGTAGTTGCCTTGATTTTATAGAACAGAAGCCTTGGCTGAGAATTCAGTAAATTTGTTAAACAAATTACAAATGAGTTGCATGAGTGCCAGGAAGACTTCTATCCTATTTCTATAACATCTCCTCTGACATCTTACTTTATATTGACACCAACACCAACAAAAAGAAATGCGGGGGGGGGGGGGGGGGGGGGGACATTGGCTCTTTCATGTTTTTGGGAGGTATATCTTATCATTCATACCTCTTAAAATCCTATTAGAAGCTGATACAATAGGATGATACCCTGAGGAAATGTACTTTACATGAATATTGAGATGGTAAAGCTGTAGCACTTGGCCAGACTTCAGATGAACCCTTTCTTTAATCTTCACTATGGACAAGGTGATGGTGACGTGTGTGGCCAATTGGATCAAACAGTGGCACTGATTTTGACTTGAGGGAAGTGCTACACTTAACTAGACAGATGGACTGATGCCATATGGCTAGGAGAGGTAGGATATAACTCTCTCTGTCAGTGGCAGAGGAGAGGGGGAGTCAGGTCTAATGAGCAGAGGCATTTCTGGTTCACCTTCTCCTCCCTGCAGTCACATATCAAAGGGTTTAAAACCATGATGAATCCACACCTTAGAGCAGTGTTTTCCAACCTTTTTGAGCCACGGCACATGTTTTACATTAGAAAAATCACAAGGCACACCACCAAACAAAAATGTCACAAAAAGTATATTTATTGAAATATAATAAAAATCTAGTCTCAATTTACTCACTCAGTGGGAAACCTGGGCCTGTTTAGTTGAACACAAAGCTGATATTCTTGCAGGAATTGAAGAAAGACACACATGAAGATCTTCCTCAACAGCTCCAAGTCTCTGTTTTTCTTGTATTTATAGCAGTCATGCTTGAAAAGCTCACCTCACATAGATAGGTTGTGGAGAAAGGGAGCAGAACTGAAATAGCTTTGTTTGCCAGAATGGGGAACTCCTTGGCAGCAGTTAGCCAAAAACTATCCAAAGGTATATCAGCAAAGCTCAGTTTTAGACCACAATTTTGTCTCAGTTCAGTTATTTCTTCCTGCTCCTGCAAAGTCATGTCCTTTCCAACTGCAGTTGAGCTGTATGGGTTCCTAACCCAGTCAAAGCAATCAGTGGAAAGTGAAGGGAAATAACATGACAATTCCTGCTCAAGACTTTGCAGATGTTTACCTATTGTCTCACACAGTGCAGCACTGTTGACACACTGCCATTTCTGGGTGTGTGGGAACATGTTAAGGTTGGCACTTTCCACATGTTGTTTCCAGAGCTGCACCTTTTAACAAAATCCCTTTTATTTTATCTGTACTTGTGAGCAGGTTTTTATTTCAGCCTTGCATTTGTGTGTTCAGGTCATTCAGATGTATATCTACCAGATATGCCAGTCTTGCACACCACTCGTCACCTGAGAGCAACTTAGCGTCATCATACTTCTCATTTGTCAAAAACACTTTTAAGTTCCTCCCACAGCTCATACACACAGGCTAAAACTTTGGCACAGGAAAGCCACTGGACCTCCGTGTGGAGCTGTCAGGTCCGCTCGGCATGGCCTGCCTCTCTTCTTCCTTTCTTTCTCTCATCCTGTGGGATTGGCGCCTCAGCTGTGTTGCATTCAGTCATCAGTGACTCGTTGGTCACCTCAGCCGTCACAGCCCTACCCTGTTTTTGTACTGTCCAAACCTAGTCGTATATATACATTGACTCTGTTACTTTGTTTGTGTTGCTACCATTAAACCACCTTTTTTCACTAGCACCTGGGTCTGCACATTGAGTCCTACCTCAGTTCTCTCTCACCCTCCTGTGAGGGGGACTCAACCATAACAGGAGCAATAACACTTTATGTTGCGCTCCCATTTCCTCACACAGTAATGCGAACATGCAACGTTTTACAGGTCTCAACTTCACAAAGTTTATCATGTGCACAACATCTTCCAGTACAGCAACTAGGTCTGCTGGCAATGTCTTGGCAACGAGTGCTTCCCGGTGCAGAATACAATGCTTCACAATGACATCTGGATGTTGCTCTTTCACTCTCTCTACAAATCCTTTAGTGTGCCTTAGCATGGCAGCTGCTCCATCGGTGCAAACACTTAGGCAGTTTTGCCACTTCAGTCCTCCTTGTTCAAGGTACTCTGACACATCTTAAAAAATTTCCTTTCCTGTTGATCTTTCTGGCAATTCCTTGCAAAACAAAAAGTTTTCTCTGATGATGTCTCTACCTACAAAGCACACATTTGCCATAAATTGTGCATGTCCACTGACACCCGTAGATTCATCGATTTGCAATGCAAATTTCCCACTAATACACAACTTTTCCAAAACCATCTTTTTCAATGTCAGCAGACATGTCTTCAATACGTCTGGAAATTGTATTATTTGACAGAGGGACTTGGGCTATTTCTTTAACGGTGCCAGGGCCGAGCATCTCTTTTAAGATAATTTTGCAGGCAGTATTAATGTCTCTGCTAAGGTGTGTGGCTGTTTTGATTTGGCGATGAGTTCAGCAACTTGGTAGCTAGCTTTAAGTGCTTTCTCAATGGTCTTGTTTGTTTTCCTCATTAACGCTGCCTGTTTCTCAGTCTGTTCACACAGTTGAACAAAATAGTCTGTGTTCTTATTTTGAAGTGATGGGTGTTTTGTCTGGAGATGGTGTTTAAGTTTACTTGGAACCATGGGACTGTTTGATAATTTTTTCCTGCACACCGGGCATAGCAGAATTGGCTCGGTTGCAGTAGGGCAGAGCTCCAAATGGAACCGAGCCATTTGCTGTGCCCATTGTGTGAATGGGCATGCCCAATAGCTACTACTCACTGTGAGAGGGCGCAAAATTTTAAATGTTGGTATGTGCATTGTGGCATATACAAATTACACACCCCTTTCTTTACTTAGCTTTTGCGACAAGTCAGCATCGAACCAGGTTTTTAAGGTAGGCTACACTGTTCTTTTATTCTGTGTTTTCATTATGTATTAAGATTGTATATTTTACGAAGGTTAGACATGCTAACATTGTCACTGTAATGTACTTTGAGACAGAAGGTTGCTCATTGAAATAACCAACATAAATACAGTGGCATGCTATCATTACAGTTTGTGTTTACATTGTGAGCGCGACATGATCACTGTTTATCGCTGCTGCCACAAAATATGGCTAATAATACTGGGTCTGTCTATAACTAATAAACGTTATAATAATGAGTGATCCCTGTGTTCATGTGAGAACCAAATAATGGAGCTTCATAGAATTAACGTTGATATATTTTATGAAGGTTAGACAGCTAACATTACTGTAATTTACTACACATATTGTGTATTTATTTAGTTTTTATGTTGTGTACATTGGGGGCCTTTGAGCTGGAGTCAATTTCCTTGTGTTCTTGAAATACTTGGCAATAAAGTTTAGGCTTATGCTTACTTTGAGACTGAATATTGCAGATTGCTTTTTGCACTGAAATAATAATAGCCACAGTAGCCATCTTGGGTGCTGCGGTGGCTGGTTGACTAGGGCGATGGCTGTGGTTTTGGCTACGGGCTTAGCTACAATGGCTATGGTCTTAGTTATGATGGCTGTTGTTTTGGCTATGATGGCTATGGGCTTAGCTATGATGGCTGTTGTTTTGGCTGTGATGGCTGCTGTTTAGCTATGATGGCTGCTATAGCAGCAGGCATCTTTATATAGCCTATATGCTTTTCTTTGCTTTTTATTGTCTGTCGTAATTATTAATTCTGGTTTGTGTGACAATCAATGCTTGAAGTGTTTAAGCTGCATATATACTTGGTTGAATTCCATCACAATATAAAGTAATGGCTGTTGCATACGCTTTAGTTTGATTTGATTTGATTTAATGTTAGCTGATGGGAAAAATGGCAGTTTTATCCATTTCAAATTAAATTTTTGATTTGATTTGATTTGAATTGATTTATTCTTTCAAACATGTAACGACAGTCAATATGTCAACACACATAATTTCACACAAATGCATTATCAATTTGCTTATACCTAGTACATGCTTGAATGGAGTAGGAAGAAGTCAGACTTATCCAGTCCTACCCCATGACATCATCTTACCATCATTGGTTTGCAAGCAATAAATGATTCACTTCTACACACTCACCTATTATACTAAAAAGAATATAACAGTATTAACATTCTTACATCACACAAGTGATATACTAAAGAATGGTTACAAAATATACATCACACCCACAACAGTTAATCATTGAGCCTGTTCTTGCATATATCTTGATTGACACATACCTTTATATTTATGTTTAAACTTGTCAATTCTAGTACTGTTTTTTATGTCTACACTTAAGTTATTCCATAGTTTTACCCCACTTATGGAAATACAAAATCTTTTTTTGGTTGTACGTATAGCATGAATTTTTAAATTTAACTGACCCCTTAAATTGTATCCCCCTTCCCTTTCATTAAATAGTTTTTGAATTCCACCAGGTAATAAATTGTTCCTGGCTTTATACATAAACACTGCAGTCTTATATCCCACTAAATCAAAAAATTTTAACAATTTAGACTGTATGAAAGCTACATTGGTGTGATCCCTATATCCCATCTTACGCACAATTCTTTTTTGTAATATATACAATGGCTGAAGTGAGCTTTTGTATGTATTTCCCCAGTTTTCAACGTCAAAACATGACGGTGGTGAGCTTGCTATGTAATTGTGGGCATGTTATTAAAAAATAACGTGAGAAAGGACCTGGTAGAATTCACCTTTCTGGCACTCATCCATTTCTGTCCCTTGTGTCTTTATCTTTTCTATGTACAGCTGAGAAAGTATAAAGAGCAGGAAAAGGATCAGATTTACGAGAAATGAAATTCCATGACCTAGAGATGACATCTCCAGTGATTATCATTTACGAAGGACTGCTCCACAGCTGGATCACTTGTCAGTGCTGGAACTCCACCACAGAAAAGGGTGAGTATTTAATAATTACTAATTTGTAGTTAATTATATGAGGTTTAACAACTAGGCCTGTAATTTCTTATATAAACAGTATTTTCAGCAATCCCAATATAGAGAGTAAAACCAACACATTTTTGCCTCTGCTCTATGTTTATATATGTTAAGTCTTTCTGTCCTGAATTAGCTTAACAGTGCCATAGACCTCTTTGGAAACACAATTGAAAATATCCCACTAAACATGTTCATATGTTTCATTAAAAAACTCTGAACTGACCCAGATTTTTTTTTTTTTTACATGTTGCCCTGAAGGGTTAAAACAGACTCTTAGCATATTAAGTAAGCAAGAGTCAAAGGCCTATGCATGAGATCTCAAGATATTCCTAACTACTATCATATTTTGTTTTGCAATGAGGAAACTTGAGTGCAGCATTGTGTTTTACTGATTTGTTTTAAATATCATAAGAGGTCTATGGCACAGATGAATAAGTTAATTCAGGACTGTTTGACATTAATTGTGACTGTTAACTGCTGGTTTTAGTCTCCATATGGGGAGTGCTAACAATACTGTTGGTATAGAAATTGGCCGCTCTAATCCTTAAAAAATATTTTCTTGTTTTATTTTAAATGTAAAAATATTACAAAATGAATTGATTCTAACATTTGCATTATGCACAGATTTACAGGATGCTTGGGCGGGGAAGGATGTTCATGTTATCCTTTCTAAAGTTGGACCCTATAAACTGTATTACTGGGACATTGGGAGGATTGCTCCTAAAATGGAACTGGAGAGTGAGGTATTGTGTTTTTATTAAGATAGAAATTGTAATTTTCTGTAATTAACTGTTGCAACGTGAACAACAGTATTTTTTTCTTCTATGACAATTCAATATTATTTCAATTTAGTGTGCATCAAAGTCATGTGATGACTCCTCTTCAATTAGAATCTGCGTTATTGGCCAGGTGTGTCGGACACACGAGGAATTTGACTCTGGTACATTGGCTCTCAATGTGCATGTACATATCCCCATGCAAGGGACAAGTAAACAGTAAACCAACATAAAGCTAGTATAACAAAATAAGCAGTATAAACAGGCAGTAAACAATTGTGAAACGAGGTAAATAGGAATAAAAACAGAGTACTTAAAAATAGAGACTTGTATGAAACTGTATAATCTGTACAAGGTTTATTTACAGGTATTGCACTGAGGGTTATTGTCCAGTCATACTGTTGTGGGTCAAGTGTTCATCAGAGTAACAGCCCGGGGGTAGAAACTGTCCTTGTGGGTGGTCGTCTTGACATACACCAATATAAGCACAGTCTGTTCAAACAAATGAAACCTTTTGATCACAAGAAAACTTAATTCAGCATTTTTCATTCACAGGTCATCAATGCTTGCCTGACAGCGCTTGTTCGGTGGCATAATGATGTAAAGGGGAACACAGCAGCTGTCATAGACTCCTTTGCAATGACAGCAATGTGGAATCGAAAAACCACCCAGACTGTAGGTAGCAAGTAGAACCTTATTGAAAGTTCCCCATTATTTCTTCAGGTGAGCTAAGCTAAATGTTTTTTCATATATTTTTAGATGGATCTCATGACATATGATGTTGTCATGGCGATAATTAAGAGCCATCACTGGATTCTGGCAGTAAGACAGAATATGTCATTTGTGAATCAAGTACATGTGTAATTTGTCATCAACGGTCAATTTGAGTGGGTAAACTGAGACTTCAAGGCCTAAAAAAAAATTTAAAAATATGTAATTTAGATTTATTTAACCTTTAGAGGGGAATATTGCAATACAACAAATGGTTGTGGACTCCACAGGGAGTACTTGTTTTGACTATCATTCTATAGTTATATGCTTGGAAAAACATCATGCCTACATTGCAGCATTATTTTGTAGCACACACACTGTAATTACATTACCTTTTCCCAAAACAGTTGCAAAGGAACCATTTTGTTATCTAGTCTGGCAACAGATTCATAATGTTAGCAACTTTTATGCCACAAAACGTTTTATCAAAACTTTACACATATTGTACATAGGTTCTGTATCCCAAAGAAAAATGTTGCCTGTCCCTGGATCCTATGAGAGAAACCAAAGCAGATCAGAAAACATGCCAGGAGACCACAAGGTAAAGAATGGCACTGCCTGGTACCATACTGACAATTTAAAGCTAACTTGTAGGCTTTGAAAATATATGCTAACCTTTATAATTATTTTTCCTTTATATTTTAGAGCCTTTCTGTGGAAGAAGGGTCACAATATTTTGAGGTGGTCCTGCAGCACTCTGCCTCACTCTTTCTTTTCTTTCCAGTGAGACTTGGTGTCTTGTGGAGTCCTAGCATTAAAGGGTAGTAGATGTTTGTGTTAAAACAATGTTAGGACTGTCTATCAAATTTGTAAAAAAAATGAGCATGACACCTCAGTAAATATAAACATAAATGTTGCTGTGTAGTTCAATATTTTTAAGTTTTGCTTGAACACCAACACAAATTATCCTCAGTTTGCAGAAAAAATTCTGTGTGGGGACTCAATTTTGACACATCAGAGGATGAGGTGAAGAAAATGAGGCTGCATATAGCAACCACCCTCCTCTAGGAATCTGGTGCATACCTTGATGATCACAGATAACCTCCATCTGTTTAAATCAAACATGAATTGAAAAGAACAAACTGAAAAATGTAGCTTTCAAGAAAGTACTACATGTAGAAGTAATTATACTAAATACGTAATATAAAAATCTTGAATAAAAAGTTTTTAACAGATGATCTCAGCAATTTGTGCTATTATTGTGGGAGCCTTGATGATGACACAAATAAGTGACTTAATTAGAAAGTTTGATTTTCTTTTTAGTTTTTTAACCAAAATTTTGTTGGTCAATTTTGAAAAGGAGAACCTTTGAATATTTTCCTGAGCTCTCTGTAATCTCCCTTTTGTTTCAAAATATTATTTTATTTATTTTACAGATTTGCTGTGCAACAGCTGTGAGAGGTGGTTTCACGTCAGATGTGTTCAGCATCCTCCTGTGGAAAAGGAGTACTTGTGCCCAGCATGCACACACAATTACAACTGCAATTATATTTGCAACTGTTTTGTGGAAGTCCTGACCAGAAGTAGAAGGATGTTTGATCTAATGTACATAGTTTGAAAAAAATTGAAGTTGCAATAACTGGAATATTTCTTGCAGTTTCATCAGCATTCTTTCAAGGTTATTGTGCCTGATGTGCAATTTAAAGTCAGTGATGAGCAGCCAGTGTCCGGCACATTGCTATAGAATCCATGACTGACTGCATGCCTGCCTGTACAGCTACCTACAGTACCTATCAGCATCTCAGTCTGACTCGCAGCCTGTGGTTAAATGTAGACTTAGTGGTTAATGTTCTTACAAACTTTGTCACATTCTTGCATGGTTTTCTGTCCCCCTTGCCAGTGTGAGTGGTGAGGTGTGACACGTGCACTGATCAGATCACATGATAGAAATATTCATCCATCCATCTATCCATTTTCCTCCGCTTATCCAGAACCGGGT